CAAAAAAACGATGGAATATTTGGTTTTATAGAGTAGAATTAAATTAAAAGTATATATAAATAAGAGAAGCAATTTTCTTTAAAAAAAAATTAAAACAACGAGCTTAGAGATCATTGTCACAACGATGTATTTTCCAGTAGGTTTATTTGATTTTGATAGCATATTCATGACTGGGAGAGACATGGTAACAAGGTCAGCCAATGAATAGGCAAAGCAACTAAGTCAGCCAATGGGAGCTTAAACATAACTGAGTCTGAAATGAGAATCAAAACTGAAACTACTCTGTATGCTCTGAACTCTGAAATGAAACTAACAATTCTCTGCTGCTTGTGTTCTGCTTGTAAGTAGAAAGAATCTACTGTTGGTATTGTACATTTATTCATCTGTTTTTATGTATATAAAGTTAATGAATCCAGTTGAATCAGTTATCTGTGTATGCTTTCTGGATTAGATTTTTCTGCAACAAACTCTGACAGTTTTGGCAGTGGATTGATTGCCTCTTGGGTATTGTGTTGCAGAATTTTCAGAAAATTATATTTTATTAGGAACGTTATAATAAGCTACCAAAAGGGTTATCATACTACAGTATTTAGTTTTGATCCAATTAGTACTAAACTTCAAAACATTGTTGTTCTTTATTCTTAGTCATGCAGAAAAGATGGGCTAATTATTAGAATAAACAATAGTTAGAAATGAAATGTGAAACTGAGGATCCAACCCATCAGTTTTTATTTCTAAATCAACCGGTGTATATTTATCATATGCAGCTGGTAGAAAGACTATTCATCATTACATGGAAATGAAATACTTAATAAGATAAAGTAATTGTATGACAATGCATAAAGCACTGGGAAAATATGATGAGTGAGAACTTTTATTTTAAATAATTAGATTAGCAGGTTTCCTTGGTTGTTTTTGTGCAGCAAAATAAATTTGGGATATTTTTCTTGGGAGAAATATTTCATGTCATTTTCTATGCTGCTTCTCTCCAAAGATTGATATTTATTTAATGGAATGATCATTTATCTAAAGGTATTCTTGGAAATATATATATGTTCTTGCCAATACAATTTATTTATTAACAGAGTTAACTATTTATAAATAAGATTAAACTATTCTTGCACTTCCTCTAAATTGATGGAAACCTGGTTGGATGAATGAATGAAAAAGTACTGTATTTATAGATCCTCCACAAGGCATGCTGAATTCAAAAGACAAAGGTTGATGACAGTAAATGAAAAATAAGATTGCAAGATAAAGATTTTCCCAACATTTTCAATTAATTGCTTAGTGAGAAGGAAATAGCACTGATTATCTATCACTTAATAATAGCAATCAATCGTCATATATCTAGGAATAACAAATCAAACCTACGTAACAGTTAATGCTTAATGTCCTAATATTCTTAAGTTTTAAGATGGGAGAAGCTCAATATACACCATCATTTATATTATTAAAAAAAATATTGAAGTACTGCCAGTTATTCAGAATCCCATGTTCGTGCTGGTACTTTTTCTGATTAAACT